TTTCAGAGCTAGCCGGATCTACATAGGAAATTCCATACCATTCAAGGCTGTATATTTTAAGAATGCTAAATTAAGTTACTAGGGTCCCATTTTACCCTTTCTCTCTCTTAAACTTGTTCTTTTGGTTCCAGACTTAGGCTATTTCAGTGATAAGATGGCTTTTCAAGACAGGGTTTCTTTGTGTAATAGCCTTAGCTGTCCTGGAATTCACTTTTGAAGACCTGACTGGCCTGTCTCTTTCTCCTGAGTACCAGGATTAAAGGCGTGCGCCATCAAGCCTGGCAAGACCTCATCTTAGCAATGTGGTCCTCACCTGCTGTGGGGTCATGTGACAATGGCATGTTGAGTTTCTCAAACCACCAAAAGTTAATGGGAAACTGAAAGAAAAATACTGTTTATGGAACCAATACCTGCTGGCTTTTTACAAAAGCTGTTATTTGTTAAAAACCTGACTATGGGACCAGATATGGTGGATCATGCATGCTTTTAATACCATCATTCAGGAAGCAGAAGCAGGTGGATCTCTGTGAGTTCAAGGCTAGCCTGGTCTACATAGCAAGTTCCAGATCATCCAGGGCTATATATGAGACCCTATCTCAAAAAAAAAAAAAAAAAGAAAGAAAGAGGAAGAAGAAAACAGCTGAGTGTTTTCTAGTAAAAGGTCAGGAGACTTGCCAAGCAGTAGAGTGAGTTCCAGGACAGCCAAGGCTGTTACAGAAACCCTGTTGAAGAGGGAGCTTAATTGTGTGTGTGTGTGTGTGTGTGTGTGTGTGTGTGTGTGTGTGTGTGTGTATAGGAATAGAGATCAGAGGAACTTGTTGGAGTCTGTTCTCTGTTCCTTCTACCATGTAGATCCAGGGATCCAACTCAGATCTTCAGGCTTACAGGAAGCACCCTTACCCCTTACCCACCTAGCCATATCCCATCTTAAAAAGTGTTTTAAGGGGTTAGAGTATATCTCAGTGGTAGCATTTGCTTCATGTGTATCTTGGATTTGGCCCTGAGTTTTATATGTAGTACTACAAAAAATGAAGTAAAATAAAAATCTGTATTTTCCTTTGCATTCTGAACTAAAAATTAAAAATGTTGTTCCAAGGGCTGGAGAGATGGCTCAACGGTTAAGAGCACTGACTGCTCTTCCAGAGGACAGGGGTTCAATTCCCAGCACCCACATGGCAGCTCACAACTGTCTGAAAATGCAGTTCCAAGAGATCTGACACCTTCACACCAATGCACATACCAATGCACATAAAATAAAGTTAAATAAATCATTAAAAAAATTTTTTTAAAAAAATGTTGTTCCAAATGCATCATTACTGGAATAGAAAAACTTAACTTGTTTTTATATGCATCTGTCTGGCTTTGAGACAGGGTCTCGATCTGTAGCTTAGGCTAGCTTTAAACTCACAGCCCTCCTCCTACCTAGCCTGAAAAGTGAAGGATTATAAGCACGAAACACCATGCTGGGTTTAGAGGAGCTCAGATTTGTTCTGTTGAACAAATTTGTTCTGTTGAGTGCATTGGTCCACTTTACTATTGCTGTGTCTATTAGAGTAAATATCTCTTTATACTTTATGCTTTTTCAGGTCAGAAAGTGTCACAAGATAAAACTTCTAAGGCATATTCTGTTTTTTTCTTTGTAGTGAAGCCAATAAGCAACATGTAAGATGTCAGAAATGTTTGGAATTTGGACATTGGACATATGAATGCAAGGGGAAAAGGAAGTACCTACACAGGCCTTCAAGAACAGCAGAGCTGAAAAAAGCTTTAAAAGAAAAAGAAAATAGATTCTTGCAGCAAAGGTAAGTTTACATGTGGTATCCAGAGGAAGTTACCCAAATATTTACAGAATTGATTAGGGCTCAATGTTCCATTATAATGCCAATTAATTATTTTGTTTATTTTGCTTTTTAGAGATTGTTTCTCTATGTAGCTCAGGATAGTCTCAAATTTGTAGTTCTGTCTCAGTGCCCTGAGTCCTGGGATTACAGATGTGTACCATTAATCCAGTTTATACTAGTATTGGCTGATTTTAATGAATGTTTACTCTGTGTCAGACACTCTCCTGTGATTTTTCACAAGTATTGGCATATCTAACCCTCCAGTCTCTACTAGTAAGGTATCTATTAACCTGTTTGAGTGCTCACAACTACATGAGCTAGTGCCCATCTGCAAGTTTCTCTCGAGCTCACTAGACTGCTCTTCATGATGTTAGGGAATACAGCCTTGAGTTTCTGTGGAGTTTTTTGTTTGTTGTTTTTGTTTAAACAATAACTAAAATTTTGGTTAAATTTGCTCTTGTAAAAGTATGAAGTGACCGTGTATAATTCAAGGAACTCAGATTACAGCTATTGTGCTGTTGTTTGCCTTGCTTGTTTAGTAATTAGTTCAAGTTCTAAACAAAAAACAAACCTGCGTCTTCAGTCATATGACTTGTACATGATAAAATGTGTTGTTAAGCACGAAGCTGACCATATGTACTATGTGTTCTTTCCCAGGGACTTTATTTGATTATAGCAAGAAATCCTTTGCCCTTGAGCATATGTAATGAAGAACAGAATGTTCTGAGACTAGCAGGATTTTAAAGTCACCCTTATTAATCGTAGCTTTTGTTCCCTTTATGTCCTTTAGCACTGGAGAGACTAATGTAGAGAGAAAGATCAAGAAGAAGAGGTAGGTGTGGCTTTCCATGACACTGCCTGGAGGGAGAAAGATTGGGTCTGAAGTCTTTATTCACAATTCTTAATTATCATTGTTCTTTTTTGTTTGTTTGTTTTTGTGTTTTGTTTTGTTTTCCAAGACAGTTTCTCTGTGTAATAGTCCTGGCTGTCCTGGAACTTGTTTTGTAGACCAGGCTGGCCTCGAACTCAGAGATCACCTGTCTCTGCCTCCCAAGTAAGTATTAAATAACTACCTCCTCTTGGCCTAACAATAAAATCTTGCCAAAATAACTAGATGCAGCAAGGGGGTTCTTGCAACCACAGTGCTAGGGAGGTAGAGATGGGTGGATACTGGTAAATCACTGAGTTACCCAACCCAGCCGAACCAGTGAGCTCCAGGTTCGATTGGAACCTCTCAAAAGTATAGAGCAATGGAGAGCACCTGATGCAGACCTCTGCTTTCCATATACAGACATGCTTATTGGCCTGCATTTGAGTACAAACACATACCACATAAACAGGCACGTAAATAAAAATGTGTTTTTGTTTTTGGATTTTTTTTTTCCTCTTCAGAAGGATAGCAAGAAGAGTGAAAATAAAATGTTTTAAGTCTAGGCATGGTTGCACTCATTGTATAGTCCTGGATTACTTGGAACTGGCTCTGTAAACCAGGCTAAACTCAGTCTCAGAGATTTGCTTGCCTTTGCCTCCCAAGCACAGAGTTTAAAGGTGTACTCCACTGGTCCTGGCTTGTTTGTTTTGGTTTGGTTTAGTTTGGTTTGATTTCTCGAGACAGGGTTTCTCTGTGCAACAGCTCTGACTGTCCTGGAAATCTCTTTGTAGACTCAAGAGATTCACCTGCCTCTGCCTCTCAAGTGCTGGGATTAAAGGCCTGCACCACCACACCCAGCTTGTTTGAGTTTTTTTATTTGGTTTTGCTTTTGATTTTTAGATTTATTTTATTTACATGTATGTATGTATGTATGTGGGTGCTATGGATGCTAGAAGGAGGCACTGGATCCCTTGGAGCTGAAGTTAAAGGTTTTTGAGTTGCCAGATTGGGTGTTGGGATCCAAATTCCAATTCAAAACAGTAAGGCTTCTAAAGTGAGCCTTCTCTTAAGCCCTTGTTTTGCTCTTCTTAGACTAGCGACTAGCTCTCACTCTGTAACCCAGGCTGGCCTCAAACTCTTGGTGATCCTTCTACTTCAGGTTCTTGAGGATTCCAGACTAGAACCACCATGCCTTGCTTTTCCTTTGTTCTTCTTTGTATTTGTGTGGGACAGGTTAGCCTCGAATTTAGTGTGTAGCTGAACTCCTGCTACTCCTGCCTGGGATTGCAGGCATGTGCCAGCATGCTCAGTGTGGCACAGTGTGGGAGGTACACCTTGTTAACTCTGAGAGAGTTGCGGTAGTGATGGAGAGCTTATAAAATGGGGAGGCATGGGTCCCAGCAGTTAGTCAGTCTTCGAACACTGGGCCTCGGGCTAGTGTGCAGGAGCTCGGCGGGAGCCTTTTTAACACTGTTAAATGTCAGCTTCTCACATGTGCATGCTGTGTGTCACTTGAATAGGTCTAAGAGTGTCACGAGTTCCAGTACCTCTAGCAGTGACAGTTCGGCCAGTGAGTCTTCGTCAGAGAGTGAGACATCTGCCTCATCCTCCTCAGAGGACAGTGACTCAGATGACAGCCGCTCTAGCTCCTCCTCCTCAGTTTACACCTCCTCGTCTTCCTCCTCCTCGGACTCAGACTCGGACTCCAGCTCATCCAGCAGCAGCAGTTGCAGTACAGAAAGCAGCTCTGATGATGAGCCGCCCAAGAAGAGGAAAAAGAAATAGAACTCTCCCTACACTGGACTAATGGACCAAAAACATCAGTTGACTCACAGGGGAACTGAAAACATGCTCAAGCAAACAAGTTAGCTGGTCATAGCTGGTCAGCTTGTTAGAATTCAGAACTTTCTCGGTATTCTCCATTGTATGAAATATTAATAAAAGATTATATATATATATATATATACATTTATTTTAGGAATGAATATTGTGTTCTTGCTGTTTTCCTTTTTCTGTTTTTTTTTTTTTCTCTATCTTTCTGTTTTTCTTCTTTTAAAGATGAGGGGGTTTTCCTTTATAGGCCTGACTGGCCTGAAACTCACTATGTAGAAGAGGCTGGCCTTGATTTTACAGATCTACCTGCTTCTGCTTCTCCTAGATATGTGCCACCATGCTCAGTTTTTGTTGTTGAGTTGTTTTTTTTTTCTAGTATTTTAAGTGTATCTGTAAAACATAAAGCTGAAAACCAGGAAATCTGTTTCAATGATAAGGCATTTTTTCTGCCTGTGATATGGATACTTTATGTGGGTATGTGGTAAGGTGTGTATAGGACAGGCTTTGAAGATCCTACATCAGAATATCAAGTAAGAAGTTGCTCTTTTTGCTGTGTTATGTGACATTTGATACATTGTTATAGTAAATGTAGCTTTCCTACCGTTAATAAATGTATTCTATTTTTGTGTTTGTGCTCAGAAAGTTAATTCCGATTTTTCTATCCTGAATATATAAATTTAAGGAACCTAATACAGTACCTTGGAATGTAAGTTTCAAGTTTTTATGTTTGTTTGTTTTTGTTTAACATTTGTGTTGTATGTGTGTTTATGTGCATCACACCTGTTTGAGAGCATGTGGAGGCCAGGAGGAGGCATCAGGCCCCCCATAACTGGAACTACAACGGTTGGCAACTGCCATACAGGTGCTGGGAATCAAACCTGGGTCTTTGGTAAGAGCAATAAGTGCTCATAACTGCTGAGCCATCTCTCCAGCTCCATGTTACAGTTGTTTGTTTATCGTTCATTTCCTTCTGGTGTCTTGAATTCTTTTTGTCTGTGTTTTTCCACACGTACCAGTACTTTTTATTAGACATTGGTTCTCTGTCGAGGTATGGAAAATTTAGCCATAGTTGAATTTTTTTTTCTTCCTCGAGACAGGGCTTCTTTGTGTAGTCCTGGTTGTCTTTGAACTCACAGATCCGCCTGCCTCTGCCTCCTGAGTGCTGGGATTAAAGGCGTGCATCATGCCCAGCTAAACATTAGTTCTCTGTCTGGATATGAAGACTGAGCCATAGTTGAGTTCTTCACAGGTGAAGCTGGGCATTTGGTCCTCTGAATTGGCCCTTCCTGGGATCTGCACATAAGAGACAGCAAGTGAAGCGCTCCTGGGTACCGGCACCATGATGATGCCTGCTGTGCTCTTTTCTCCTTTGATGGATCTGTAATATTGGCCATCGACCCAGTACTCTGCTGCTTACCTTTTGGGTAAAATCACCATCCAGATTGGCTTGTCTCCTGGTCTAACATCCATGAGTTTTTTTCTTCCCTGGTACAATGAAGTCATGCTGGAGTCTGCTGAAGAACCAAACATCTCAGGAGGGCTTTTGGGTTGGTTTTTGAGGCATGGTCTCATATAACCCAGACTGACATCAAATTGAGGGTGACCTTGAACTTCTTACCCTCGTCCCTTCACTTCAGTGCTGTGCCACCACACCTTGTATTCTTATTTTAATGTGTCTCTGTCTAGGTCTATGGGTACCATGTATGTGGTGGGACCCCATGGCAGGCATTTGTGAGCTGTGGATGTGGATGCTTGGAGCTGAACTCAAATCCTCTGCAATAGCAACAAGTGTGCTTAACTGCTGAGCCATCTCTCCTACCCCTGGTTACTTTAAAAGATTGTTTTTTAAGGGTAAAAGCAATGGCTCAGTCAGTGAAATGGGAGGGGCTGAGGTAGGTAGATTCTCTAGAGCTCATTAGCTAGCCAACTGAGTCAGTGAACTCCAGATTCAGTGAAACTGTCCTAAATGAGGTGGAGAGCAGAGCAATGGAGGACAACATGTGACATGGACCTCTGGCCTACACATATGCATGAATATGTACATACAAATAAGCTTTCATACACATTGATTGTATATACATTTTTTTCTAATTAGAACTTTGGGTCTGGTGAAAGCTAGGCAAGCTGTGTGACAGTTGACATGGTAACTATGAATATGAATAACTAGGGATAAACTAGTGTATTGGTATAACATGTTCACAGTTCAAATCTAACAATAATAGGGAAATACTGTATGATAATTTAAGAAGTAAACCAATGTATAATAATGTAAGGTTTAGGTACATAATTCTTTTTAAATTTTTTTTTTTTCGAGACAGGGTTTCTCTGTATCTTTGGAGCCTGTCCTGGAACTAGCTCTTGTAGAACAGGCTGGTCTCAAACTCACAGAGATCTGCCTGCCTTTGCCTCCTGAGTGCTGGGATTAAAGGCATGTGTCACCACTGCCCAGCTTGGTACATATTTCTGTGGCCTTAAACTTTTTAGAAAAAAGGTTTTATTTGTTCAACAATCTTTTTTTTTTATTCTTTATTGAGACAGGGTTTCTCAGTGTAGCCCTGGCTGTCCTGGAATTAGCTCTTGTAGACCAGGCTGGCCTCAAACTCACCAAGACCCACCTGCCTCTGCCTCTTCTAGAACAGCCCAAGATACACCAAATAACCCTGTGTGTGGGGGGAGGAGGGAGGATTCAAATTACCAGTATCAGACGTCACAGGTAACATTACTACAGATAACCACAGATGTTAAAAAGAAACTGGAGGAATGGTACCGTGAGCAGCTTTACTCGTAAATAACAGTACAAAATATTTTTTTTTTCTTTTGGTTTTTCGAGACTGGGTTTCTCTGTGTAGGCCTGGCTGTCCCTGAACTCACTTTGTAGACCAGACTCTAACTCAGCGATCTGCTTGCCTCTACCTCGAAAGTGTAGAGTAGAGATAAAAGGCGTACACAGCCAGGCCTGAGAACAGTTTTTCTTAGAAGAGGTCTGTCAGTATCACTTCCTGCGATCTAGAGCTGATAGGATCAAATGCCTCAGGATCCCAAGTAGCTGGAGTTAAGGGTCTGTTCCACTACACTTGGCCCTCGAAAAATTCCTTGAAAGACAATCAGACTCACAGAAGAGTGAATGGATAGCCAAGCCAGGGGAGAGGGGGTGATGGGAGGGGTTGGCGGTGGTGCAAGCCTTTAATCCAAGCACTCCGAGACAGAGGCAGGAGAATTTAAATTCGAGGCCAGCCTGGACTACAAAGTGAGTTTCAGGACAGTCAGAGAAACCCTGTTTTAAAAAACAAAAGACAAAAAGGCAAACAGAAAAAGAAAATGGATACTAACTTATATTAAACTCAATTTATAGCTTAAAACCTTCACCACCAAGAACTCCATTTATTAAATGTGGTTTTGGACTTTAAAGTTAAACACTTAAATATATATGCTAAGAGGAAATAAACTTTGAACGGAGAGTAATAATGTACATAGGGTGTGCTTATAGATAAGGAAATAAATTGAACCAATGTAACAGACCGCTGTTCATGGATGGTTCCCTGCCCCTGTGCCATTACTTAAAGTCATTCTAAAGATATGAGAGAAACTGCTGCCAAGGTAGTTTAGTGACCCTTTTTTTCCAGGTACACATTATCTTATGTAATCCCTGCTCATAACTGAATCAGGGCTAATCTATGTGAATAGACTGGAACAAAGGTGGCAGGACGTGATGCCATGGCAGGCATTACCGCTTCCGCCTTGTCTCTTAAGACACTCTGTAAGATAAACCAGCCTCTCTGAGACACGAGGATACACCATGTGGCAACGCCTCGGGAGGAAGTTATGAGCCTCTTACCAGCACTGACTCATCGGAACCGTCAGAACCACAAGCCAACCACACCTTCTGATGCTCAGTGAAGCTCTGATGACCGTAACCTGAGACCTCGAGCCAGACCCAAATTCCTGACCCACATGAACTGTGAGAGTAAATACTGTTTTGTATCATTCTTATTTATTGGTTTTGTTTTTTTAATTTTTATTTATTTTTGAGACAAGGTTTCTCTGTGTAATCCTGACTGTCCTAGAATTCACTCTGTAGACCAGGCTGGCCTCACACTCTGCCTGCCTCTGTTTCCCAAGTGCTGGGGTTAAGGGTTTGTGTCATCACTGCCCAACAAATACTGTTATTTTAATTCACTGGGTTCTGAGTAATTTGTTAGGCAATAATACTTTTTTAAAGGCCTACTGTTTCTGTATTTTCAAGTTCATGGTTATTGAAAAGCAACTGCAGTGCCACACCATCGCTATGCACCACACGCTTTGCGAGTCTGGTAAGGAACTAGAGATTGAAACACACACAGAGAGACAAGGGTAACACCAAGACTGCCCCCTTTATTGTGTTCCATGGCAGCTTATATAGGGTCTCCTTGACTAAAGGCCACGCCCTAACTCTCAGCTGCAAGCCCACCAGAAACCACTCCCCTGCCATCAGGAACTCCTGAGGGTCTCGTGCTCAGAGCAGCTGCAAGCCCAGAAAAACAAGTTGTTTACTCCAGTAGGCAGGGGGTCACAGGAAGGTCAGGGTCTGGGGATCCACAGTCCCCAACATCCACATTCAGGTTTCTGTTCAAAATTTTTCTGTGAAAGGGTTCTTTTTGCCAATTTATCGAAATTAGTCCTTCCTCTGATTCAATTCCTTTGCCTTGATTTTCCCTCATTTATTCTTGACCGTTAGTTATGGGACTTTGTGTGTGTGTGTATGTGTGTGTGTGTGTGTGTGTGTACTGGGGGGCCTGTTCACAAGTGTGTCTTCTCTGTTAATATGGCAGTTCCATTTTAGGAACTTAAGGATTTATTTTTGCTCTCTCCTGCCTCTGAGGCCCAAACTCATAAAAAGGAGCTCAATAAATCAACCGTTGGCAGAAAAAATAAATGGATTTAGGTCAAAAATCATCAGCATTCATATTTGCCTTAGTATTTGGATTTTGGTTTTTTGAGACAGGGTTTCTTTGTGTAACAGTCCTGGCTGTCCTAGAACTCACTTTTTAGACCAGGTTGACTCCAAACTCCACCTCCCAATTGCTGGGATTAAATGTGTGCACCACCACTGCCCGGCTATTATTTGGATTCTTAGTTGAAGGAAGGAAGCATTTAGGCTGTGAGCTTGTATGAACTGACCCTGAATGTTGATGTAAGAATCCTTATAAGAAATTTTTACTTATGTATTTTAATTATCTGTCTCAAAGAGAAATGAAATATGCCAGGCGGTGGTGGCCCATGCCTTTAATCCCAGCACTCAGGAGGCAGAGATAGGCAGATCTCTGTGAGGTAGAGGTTAGCCTGGTCTACAAGAGCTAATTCTAGGACAGGCACCAAAGCTACAGAGAAACCCTGTCTTGAAAAAACAAAAATCAAAAAACAAAAGAAAGAAAGAAAGAAAGAAAGAAAGAAAGAAAGAAAGAAAGAAAGAAAGGAAAAGGGGCTGGAGAGATGGCTCAGTGGTTAAGAGTACTGACTGTTCTTCCAGAAGACCCGGGTTCAATTCCCAGCACCCACATGGCAGCTCACAACTGTCTGAAGATCCAATTGCAGGGGATCTGACACCTTTACACCAACCAATGCACATAAAATAAAGTTAAATAAACCATTAAAAATATTTTTTAAAAAAAGAAAGAAAGGAAAAGAAGATTATTGACGTAACTTTCTTTGTAGAGTGATTTCCTTGCATTTACAAGGACCTGGTTTTGATCCCTAGCATCTCTTAGATGGAGTGCAGTATTGACTATATAGGCTACCCTTGAACTCATTATGTAGCCCAGGTTGTCCTCAAACTCTCCATTTTCCTGCCTCAGCCTACCAAATCCTTGGATTTCAGGTGTCCACCACAGTTTGTTTCTGAGTGATTCATTTGGTAGCCAAACAATGTTACTCATTTATGATACAGAGTTAATCATTAAATCATGTTAGATTATAACAGCCAAAAAAAAATACATATCCAGAGATGGTATGTCTTAATATGGGCAGGCCAATATAGAAGAGTCCTGGCAGAAGAGTTAATAAAATATTTTTATAGTATGTAATATAGTTCATCATTGTAGGTAATTAGCTTGAAAAAGCTTTTTTTTTTAAGAGTTGGTCCCACGTATCTGTGATGACCTTGAACTTCTGATCCTTCTGCCTTTACCTTCTGAGTGCCTTGATTACAGGCAAGTACCATCAACGTTGGGGGTGGAACCCAGAGTTCGCCCCCCCCACCTCCATGCTAGGCAAGTACTTTCCAAGCTGAGCTACATTCCGTAACTCATGAGATTTATTTTGTGACTAATTTTTATTTTATTGATCTATCATCAACTTAATACATTGGATGCTACTAGAACTGCTCAAGTGTTTGCAAAAAGAAAGTGTTGAGCTTGCAATGACTGAGGAATTAGCCGCTAGGAGTAGTCTACAGGGAACAATGCCTATGAGAATGTTTGCAAAGTTAAGAAAACACTAACTCACGAGGCAGTGGTGACGCACACCTTTAATCCCAGCACTCCGGAGGCAGAGACAGGCGAATCTCTATAAATTTGAGGCCAGCCTGATCTACTGTTGGAAGGAGTCTGCTTGCTGGTCCCAGTCACCCAGCTAGCTTAGACCCAAAAAAAATCACACAAAAACTGTATTAATTAAATCACTGCTTGGCCCATTAGCTCTAGCTTCTTATTGGCTAACTCTTACATCGTAATTTAACCCATCTCCATTAATCTGTGTATCGCCACATGGTAATGGCTTACCAGCAAAATTTCAGCATGTCTGACTCTGGCAGCTCCATGGCGTCTCTCTCACTCCACCTTCTTCCTCCCAGCATTCAGTCCAGTTTTCCTTGCCTACCTAAGTTCTGCCCTATGAACAGGCCAAGGCAGTTCCTTTATTCATTAACCAATAAAAGCAATACATAGACAGAAGGACCTCCCACACCAATCTACAAGAGTTAGTTCCAGGACAGGCTCCAAATCTACAGAGAAACCCTGTCCTGAAAAACCAAAAAGAAAGAAAGAAAGGAAAGAGAGAGAGAGAGAGAGAGAGAGAGAGAGAGAGAGAGAGTGAGAGAAAGAGAGAGAAAGAAAGAGAGAAAGAAAATAGTTCAATTGAAGTGCAGTCTACTGAAATTTATTTTTATTGTTTTTAGTTTTATGAGACAAGTTCTTTATGTAGCCTAGGCTGGCCTAAAACATGCAGTAATCCTCTTGCCTCAACTCAGCCTCTAAAGTGTTGGGATTACAGCTATGAGATCACCATGCCTGGCTAAGCTGTGTTGCTGTTGATCCTCCCAAACTGTATGGAGCAGGAAAAGCTTAGCTGAACAGATCTATGAGGCATCTGATAATGCAAGGCATTTAAAGGCCTTTTCATGTGTTATTAAATAATAGTCCTCACAGTGGTTTTTGAGTTCCAGGATTCTTCTAAATTTTTCTTTCTTTCTTTCTTTCTTTCTTTCTTTCTTTCTTTCTTTCTTTCTTTCCTTCTTTTTTCTTTGAGAGAACATTCTCTGGGTCAGGGAGCACAAGCCTGTAATCCCAGCAGTTGGGAGGGGGAAGCAGGAGGATTGAGGTCCATGGCCAGCCTTAGCTACATAACAAGTCTGAGGCTAGCATGATCTTCACGAGACCCTGTCTCAAAAACAAAACAAACCTCAAATAAACAAGAGTGATAAGGCTGAGTATACCCTGCTTTATCTGTCACACCCAATTCAATGGCGCAAAGCAGTACATTAGTATTGGTATTGTCTGCACTTAAGGTAAGGAAGAGCAGATGTTTAGTTTCCTTTATTGCTAGCATCCATGTGATGTATGTGTATGTGGACCCGAATGCCACAGCATGCATGTGGGGATCATGGGAATCGGAGAACGACTTTGAGGAGTTGTTCTTCTTGTCCCACCCTTACATGGGTTCTGGGGATGGAACTCAACTCTCCAGGTTGGGTAGCAAGCACCTTTACCCAATAAGCCCTTCCAACATCCCTGAAATGAAACAGGAGCCTATGTGGACAATTCTCATCCAAACCACCTCACAGAGACTGGTGTAGCCCTTGCTGGCTTCAAACTTGCTACATGGCAGAGGATGAGCCAGAACTCCCGATCTACCTGCCCTGCCTTCCAAGTGCTGGGGTGCAGAACTGCACCACCACGCCCTGCTTGTGAATTTTGTTTGTTGGAGTAGAAGAAGCATAAAACTTATATAATAGTTCATTTTTTTGCTTTGCTTCTGTTGTTTTGTGCCACTGGGGATCATACCGCGGGTCTTGTACACTTGATGCAATGGCTTCACCAGGGAGCTTCATCCTCAACCCTGTCTTCTTTTTTCCCCTGTTTTTACCTGTGTAGTTCAGCTGTACCAAACCATCCATGGCACTTTGAAATCATCTCCTCCGTCTCCATCATCTCAGCCTCTGGTGATCCTTCCATTTGCAAAACTGAAACTCCATACCTATTTTTATTTTATTTTATTTATTTATTTATCTATTTATTTATTTTTGGATTTTTTTTTTTGAGACAGGTTTTCTCTGTAGTTTTTGGTGCCTATCCTGGAACTAGCTCTTGTAGACCAGGCTGGCCTCGAACTCACAGAGATCGACCTGCCTCTGCCTCCCGAGTGCTGGGATTAAAGATGTGCACCACCACCGCCCGGCTCCATACCCATTTTTAAAATCTCCTATTCTTCTCTTGTCCAATCACTGTGGCAAGTCATTCTGTTTTCAGTTTCTACAAACTTGCCTCCTCGTACTTCAGACTAGTGGAAGCATGCATTGACTTTCCTGTGACTGGTTTATTTTATTTGCATAAGGTCTTTACATTCACCCCTGTGGTAGCACAAGTCAAATTCCTTCCCCTTTTAAGGTTGAATGACAGTGCCTTGTATTGTGTAACACACTTTGTTCATTCATTTACCCACTGATAGACACTTGGTTACTTCTGCTCTTTGACTTTTGTAAATAATGTGAGACCTGAAGTTAGAACTGCCACACCACTGATACTGGACACTAAACAATAATTGTGGAAATTAGCTTCTGCCGAAGATGTGATCACATTTCTTCAAGAGTTCAGTCTACAAATCAAAATATTTCTCTGTGAAGCTTTTGCAGAGGTCATTGTAGCAGTCAATCAGTTTGAATCATAGGACCGTTGAGTTGCTGTATATGTTTCTTTCACAGTTAAAACAAGAGTATGTTTGTTGCCACACACTTGCAGGAGGCTTATTTCCAGAGCCCATGCTACGGTGGACACAGCCTGCTTTGGATTCAGGCTTTAAGGAGGCAGGGACTGGAGAATCAGACGTTCAAGGTTATTGGGAGGCACATGATGAATATGAGGTTAACCTGGGCTACAGGAGATTGTCTCACAGAACCAGAAAAAAATCCAATTAGCTCCATGATTAAGGATCTTTCTCCCAGTTTTTAAAGATCTTGTTTTCATTGTTCTTAGTTACGGATAGGTGTGTGTATATCTGTACAGACACGCTGATGTCCTTACCCCTCACATCAGATCCCCTGGAGCTGGAGTTACAGATACAGGCCACTTGGTGTGGGTACTGGGAACTGAATCTAGATTGTCTGGAAGAGCAGACAGCACTTTTAAACACTGAGCCCTCCCCCACTTTTTTTTTCCTGATCCTGGGACCAAACTATGATGTGACTCCGAAGAAGACCATAAAATGGAATTATGTACCTAAGTGGAAGTATATCAAATAGAAAGATGTCACATGTGGTTTCATGAACTTAGCCCCTTGGCCAGTATTTCTCTCCTGTGATTGTCCACTGGCTGGCCAGCTGGCTTATGTCTTATTACTTTGGTACTTAAGAGGTTTCCTGTTTGCTTTATGACCAGTCTACCGTTCATATACAAGGTTAAGAAGCTTTAACTGCTTCCATGTTACTCCTGAGTTCTCAGTCCTCTCTCCGGCTCCTTCCACCCAGTTTTCAATTGTAGTTTCTCACTTTTCCATGTAATATGTGCTGATAGAGAAGAACCTCAAAGAGCTGGAAAACTGTCTCTCAAGCAAAAGACATTCTCAGCGCTGTATGCTAATGGGTTCATAGTAGATACCTGGTGATTTATTTTTGTATGCCAAAACTATTTCAAAAGTAAAATGCAGAAGTTGTCTATGCTCCTGTGAATAACCAGTCACCCATGCTCTTGTAAGCAACCCTAAATTAACCTCACTAGTTTTGCACCCCCCCCAACATAGGCCATGAAAGAAAGAGGGGAGAGTAGTCAGAAAGAGAAGTCAATTAGTGAGAAGGGAAGGGTGACAAGAGATGGTCTATGGATGAATATGATCAAAATATATTATTTCCACAAATGAAGATGTCACAATGAAGTCCATCATTATATACAATTAATACAAGCTAATAAAAAATGTAGTGCTGGGCCTGTAGCTTAGTACGTATGGTGTTTGCCTAGCCCTGGGTTATAACCCCAATCCAGCACAGGGAGTAGGGCTGTGTCACCCACCTGTAATTCCAGCATTCTGGAGGTGGAGCAGAAGTTCAAGGTCATCTTCAGCTGCAGTGAGAGTTTGAGCCTGAGCTACCTGAGATCAGAAAGAAAGAGAAGGAAGAAAGGAAGACAGAACGATCTCATTACAGTTCAGCATGAATAGAAGAATATTTGAAATTTTTGTTCTTGTGTGTGTGTGTGTGCATGTTTCTGTGTACATGGTCACATATGTGCAGTACATGTGGAAGCCAGAAGTTAATGGGTGTTTCTCTGCTCCCTCTTCACTTTGTTCACTGCAGCAGGCTTGTTTGCTGACTCCAGAGCTCACCAATTCCAGCTAGTCTATCTAGTCAGGTGGCCCTGGGATCTCTGACCACCTCTGAAGTATTGGGATTGCTGGCAGGCCACCATGCCCATCTGTTCTTAGGTGTGTTCTGGGGTCCAAACTCTGGTTTATACACTTTATCCATTGAGCCATCTCCCTAGCCCTATTAAGATGTGAGTGTGTGTGTGTGCCACAACACATCTGTGGAGGTCACAGGACAATTTGGGGTGGGGGAGTCAGTTCTTTCTGTGTTCATAAGCGGGGGTTCCAGGGATTAAACTCAGGTTGCCAAGTTTTCTTAGCAAGCTCCTTTACCCACTGAGCCATTTTGTTGGCCTTCTCTTTGTTGTTGTTGTTTTGAGACAGGATGTTGACGTGTGACCCTGGCTGGTCTCTTGCTCAGTAAGTACTACACGATGGTTTTATACAGCAATCCTCCTGTCTCAGTCTCCTGAGTACTGGTATAATAGGTATGAATGAACATTTTCTTTGAATCATCTTTAGTGACATATTTTCATCTGGTAAAAACTATTTCATTTTATTCAGTGGCAATACTAAATTACCAAATTTAATTAACTATCATATTTTGTATTTATCAATTCATATTTTATGAAACTGTTTATATTATATATAATTAGCTGTACAAAATCTTTGCTTTTTTCACTTGGCCTTAAAATTTTAAAATATTTCAAAGTAATTTCATATGTGCATATGTGTGTGTTGTTGTGCATGTCTGTGTGGCCAAAGAGGTTTCTAGTATCATTTTCAGCTTTCTTATTTTGAGGTAGGGCCTCTTGTGGTACCCAGAGTTTGTATTTTGGTTATGAGCCGAAGCATTTGACAGCTGAGCCATCTCTCTGGCCCTGGAATTTGTGTTTTTGAACAAAACTGGCTAGCATGTCCCAAAAGTCTTCTTAGCTCTGCCTGCCTCCAAGCCAGGATTGCAGATACTGGTGCGACCATACTCGGCTTTGACATGAGTTCTGGGATCTGAACTTCCGACTTTATGCCCGCACAGCAAGTGCTCCTGAACTAGTTCTCTAGCTCCTGGGAAATAGCTTAGACCCAAAGTGTGTGGTGATTCACGCCTGTAATTCTGACACTTGCCAGGCTCGAGAGGATCGTCGCATGTCTGAGGTGAGCCTGGAGTACGTAATAAATTCCACACCTCTCTGTGCTACAGAATAAAACCCTGTCTCAGACAGATAAAGAAATAGACCTAGCCGGGCAGTGGTGGCACACGCCTTTAATCCCAGCACTTGGGAGGCAGAGGCAGGTGGATCTACGTGACTTTGAGGCCAGCTTGGTCTACAGAGCAAGTTCCAGAACAGCTAGGACTGTTACACAAAGAAACCCTGTCTCGAAAAATCATTAGAGAGAGAGAGAGAGAGAGAATTGATTATGCAATTAACCATCACATACATACACACATAGGATAACTAAATCAATAAAGTGATTAAAAATTAAATTTTGGGCTTGCTCAATGGCTCAGTGGCACTCGTTGGCAGGTCTGACAACCTGAGTCCAATCCTTGGGACCGACATGGTAGAAAGAGAGAACTGACCCCTGCAAGTTGTCTTTTGATCATAACCCCCCACAGACATGCACATAAATTTTTATTTTAACTTGTCCCCAGAATATATTCAAACAGCTCCATGTGGTATTTTGAAATTTGTCCCAACTGTAGACTGACCTGCTGGCTAGAGAAACTGCCAAAGTCATTGCAGCATTTCCTTGGAGTTAGGACCTCCCTCTGCTATCTCCTGATCTAGGACTGAGACCTCAGGAACACTATCATCTCCTCTCTCGCTTCCTCCTCCTGCAACTTGATAAGCTCCCGCTTGCAGGACTGCTTTAGATCCTTCTCAGCGGATGCCTGACATAGCTAGCTAATTGTAGAGGTTTTGTTTTTTTTTTTTTTTGACAGTCTTTTCCTTTTATAACCCATTTACTTTTATTTCAGATGTACCAGTGTTTTGCCTGCAGGTATTTCTGTGTGAGGGTGTCAGATACCCTGGAACTGGAGTCACAGACAGTTGTGTGCTGCCACGTGGGTGGGGGAAGCAAATCCAGGTCCTCCAGTCAGTGTTCTCAACAGCTGAGCCCTCTCTCCAGACTTCTTGGAGAATAAAGGTGATCTCCTCGCGTGCGTGCTTCTTGGTATGGGAGTAGTTACCCAGGTTCAGGCTGTGCTTTCCGCTGATGACCCAGTCTGCCTTCTTCACAGTCTTGGTGTGAACATGGTGGAGAATGTGGCTTTTTTTTTTTTAAGAAAAAAAAAATTGTAGAAGTAAGACACTGTTGAGTTTCAATGAAAAAAGTAATGAGGACAAAAAAATAGTACTAAGGATTTTAGGCCTTTCAGAAATGTTGCTGACCCGGATGGCTAGATAAAGATAGCAGGGGGAGAAAGAGAGAAAAGGTCTCGATAAGATCTGTGTCACCTCTCAGAAACAGATGGAAGAGTGCCAGGTGAAAAGCGACAATCAGGCAGCAGGGGAAAAAAAAAAGCAAACAAAAAACCCCCACAGGGTGCCCTGCTCAGGCAGAACCTAGAGAAAGGGAGAGTTGGAAGAAAGAAGGAGAGGAACAGAGTCCTTTTCACCTGAGGCAGAGAGTCAAGAATTTTGTCACAAATAACAAAGTTCACTATTGAGATTGAGGAAATGGAGACAAAATTCTTTTTTAAATGAGTCTTTTTAGTTTGAGGGTTTTTGTTTTGTTTTCTTGTTTTGAAACAGAGTCTCACTTTGTATTCCAGGCTGTCCTGCAACTCACCATGCAGATCAGGCTGACCTCAAAACTGATAGGACCTTCCTGCGTCTGCCTCCTGAGGGCTGGCAGGCACTTGGCAAGCCTTAGCAAATAAGAGTGTTAAAAAGGCAAGCCTTGGCAAATAAGAGTGTTAAAAACAGCAGCGACCATATTTAAGGTCTAATCTCATGTAATGTTTAACTTTATTCCTTTCCTAGTTGTGACCTTGTTATTTTCTAAAAATCTCACAATCAAGGTTCCAAACTTTATGATTAAAAAACTCCTGAACTGTGACCTAGTGTGGTAAGGGATTCCTCTGACTTCTGTGACCTGTGGATTGTTTGTTAATCCATTAATTTATTTATTTTGCGATTGGATGTTCTGCCTGCACGCATGTCTGTGCAGTACACGCACTACACACTCACACACACACACACCTGGACCCCATGAAGGTCAGAAAAGGGTGTCAGATTCTCTGGGGCTAGAGTGACTGTTGTGAGCTGCCATGTGGGTCTCTGAAACTAAACCTGAGCCCTCTTCAAAGAGCAGCAAGTGATCTTAATGATTAAGTCATTCCGAAGCCTGTGTCTGTAACTTTATCTTATCTCTACCCATATCCAAGGCACCTCAGGAACAACCTAGGATCTGATTAACCAAAAGAAACAAAGTTCCTTAGAAACCTTTTAAACAATGTATCTTCAGAAGCTGACAAGATTGAATATGTGGTCATTGATAAAACACTTAAAGCTGGGCCTGGCAGGGTAAGATTGTAATCCTAGCATTTAGGAGGTGGAGGCCAAAAGGTTAGTCCTTCGGGGCCAGCCTGGACTGCGATAGACTCTATTTCAAACACACAAAACTCTTTTTCAATAAACTCACTAACTTCACTATCTTCTGACTCATCCTGAAATGTTCTTTTTCAGGAGTGGGGAAGGTGAAGGTGTGTGTCTCATGTGCCCTAAATTGGCCTTAAACTTATTCTGTACCTAAAGATGACCTTAAACTCCTGATTCTTGTCAGACGGTGGTGGTGCATGCCTTTAATCCCAGCACTTGGGAGGTGGAGACAGGTGGATCTTCGTGAGTTCGAAGCCAGCTTTGGTCTGTCTACAAAGCAAGTTCCAGGACAGAGAAACCATGTCTTGAAAAGTCAACCAAACAACTCCTGATCCTTTTACCTCCACGTCTGAGTGCTAAGATTGGAGGCATGCCATGCCACACTTCTTTTGTGCAGTGTTGGGGATGGACCCCATGACTTTCATGTGAGACACACATTCTTCTACCAGCTGTGGTACATCCCAGTATCCTGAAAGAGATCTCCATGGTGAAATCAAGAGTAGTGTAGTCAGAGCTGGGGATGGTATATAGCCAAGGCTTCATAGTAAGACCTTGTCTCAAAAAAAAAAAGTAAGACTAGAGACATGATTCAGTACTTAAGAGCACTTACTGCTCTTGCAGAGGACCAAAGTTCAGTTCCCAGCTCATAGGTCAGCTCACAACCATCTGTAAATCCAGGGAATCCAATACCTTCTTTTGGCCTCTGGGAATGCTGCACTAACCCAACACAGAAACACATATACCCATATCATACATATAATTAAATAAAAATTTTATTAAAGGGTATGGGGATGCATGTCATTTGTCCTAGGCCTCAGGAGGCAGAAGCAGACAGATCTCTGTGAGTTTGAGGCCAGCCTGGTTTACATGGTGAGTTCTAGGCAAGCCAAGGCAACATAATGAGAATTTCTAACACAATTTTTTGAGTGTTATTATTGTATGTGTACCAAGAACCACATGGCATGTACAGATGCCAGAGAACAGCTCTTGGGAGTCAGTCTTCTCTCTTTCTTGGGTTCCTAGAACAGAAATGAGATTGTCAGGCTTTTACTCACGGAGCCACCTCACTGGCCCATGTTCTTTCTTTAAAAAACATATCAGAAAAGGATAGTAGGATTCTCTTCCTTTTTATAGAGCAGTGGTTCTAGGGGTTTGTGGAACTAGGTTGAACCCAGAGCCTTATGTGTGGTAAGCAAGAGCTTTGCCACGACATCCCATCCCAGACTATCCAAGCCTATTGGAACTCGGACAATGTCACTACAAACTCTGGATACCGCACATGGAGCAGCAAGATTTGACATTTACACTGATGGGCTTTGGTCTTGCTTTGGTCTGATCTTTTCTTGCCGTTTTCTTATTCCCCACTTTTGGAACGTGAATGCTTTCTCCATGCCATTGTATAATGGAATTATGCCCCTTGGTTTTCATTTTACAGGAGCACCTACGAAGACCGCCCTGAGTCTCAGATCTTTGAACAATGTTAGAACTGTTGAGCCAAGCATAAGGCTGTCCATCTACTGCCCCAGCACAGGGAAGGCAAAGGCACGAAGACGGGGAATTCAAGGTCATTCTCAGAAACATAGCGAGCTCTAGGATCTCCTTAGCTAGGTAAGACTCTGTCTCTCAAGCATTGGGTGGGTAGCATCACAACAGGCTGAGTTCATTTTTACTGTTAGCTTGATAAGATTAAGAAATACCTGGGCATTTTTGAGGTACTTCGGGTGTGTCTGTGTCTGGTTTTCAAGAGAGAATTAACTGAGGAACAAGAACCTTCCTGAGGTCCGGTGGTGATGGCACATGTTTTTAATCCAAGCACTCGGGAGGCAGAGGCAGGCAGATCTCTGAGTTCGAGGCCAGCCTGGTCAACAGAGTGAGTTCCAGGACAGCCAAGGCTACACAAAGAAACCCTGTCTTGAAAACAAAATAAAAATTTAAAGACTCTAGGATTTATTTAGTGTTTGTTTTTTGAGACAGGGTCTCACTATATATATAGCCTTGGCTGGCCTGGAGATGGGTATGTATGTACATTGGGTTGACATCAAGCTCACATTGATACTCCTGCCTCTGCCTCCATAGTACTGGGATTAAAAGCATGTATCATCAGATCAGGTCTTTTTAGTGTTTTTGAGACGTTGCCTAGAATTCAGTGTGTAATTGGGATTGAACTCTCCAATTGTGAGATTCCAGACTATGAAAACCGAATTTAAAAATGAGTGAAATGTTCCAAGATGTTAGTGGTGGAGAATCTTCATGAGTTGCCGTCGAATAAGAAAGCAGGTTAGGTGACATGTGACACCAATGACGGGATTGTATGTTTTTCAGATAAACACGAAGAGGACATTCTTCTTGCAGTACCATTTCTGGGTTCCAGGAGACTTTAAAACCTTGTCTGTCTAATCACTAATCTCAATTAAATTACTTCTTGACCCGAGTGGCAGAGGTGATGGGGTATTCAGAAAGACTGTGTTCGCTCTCTCCTGTTGTGTTGACAGGGTTTTGTTAGTTGCTCAGATTGGCCTTGAATCCACCGAGAAATCCATAGTGGCCGAATCCGTGGCGATCCTCCTGGCCTCGGCGGCCCCAGCGCAGAAATCACAGGCCTGCCACGACGCCAGGCTTCACGATGTGTGTGTGTGTGTGTGTGTGTGTGTGTGTAGGACGGCTCATCCTCCCACACGAAGTCACACGCACGCAGCTGTGGACGACGTGCTGCGGACATCCACGTCACCCTTCCCTCCCTCGCCCCGCGGAGCGCTGCGGGACTCGGGCGGCCGAAGCCCGGCCATCACCTGCACCCCAGAACCGGTCCACCCGGCTGCGGGAAGAGGGGGAGGTGGCACCGCCCCGGCCCGTGGC